CTCCCTACTCCCTTGTTTTGTTTATTTATTTATTTTTATTGAATCACCATGAGATACAGCATTAATAAGTTGTTCATGATTGGGTTTCAATCATACAATGTTCCAACACCCATCCCTCTATTACATTGGTGCAGTGTAATGTCCCAGCACCAATACCCCTAGTTTACCTTCCAACCAAACTCCCCCCTAACACAGCCTGTTTCTATGGCAGGTACCTCCCTTCTCTCTCTCTCTCTCTCTCTCTCTCTTTCATTTTGGACATTAAGTTTGTAAAGCAGTTGCTAAAAGGTTATTACAGTGGAATACTATGCAGCTATTAGGAAAGATGAAGTTATGAAGTTTGCTTATAAGTGGATGGTCATGGAGAGAACTGTGCAAGTTAAATGAGTCAGGAAGAGAGGGACAGACAGAGAAGGACTGCACTCATTTGTGGAATATAAAATAACATGAGATTGACACCCAAGGACAGTAGAGACAAGGGCTAGGAAGATTGCTCCATGGTTGGCAGCCTGTCTCATGAGCTGGGGGAGAAGGCAGTTGGGATAGAGAAGGGATGACTAAATCAGTGGTTGGAGGGATCTCTCAGGATGGGAGATGTATGCTAAAAGTAGATAAAGGACCAAGCGTGATGATCTCTCAGTAACTGTATTGCCAACCATAATGCCAAAAAGTAGAGAGAGAGAGTATAGGGGAAATTGTCTGCCATAAAGGCAGGGGGAGGGGTGGGATGGGAGTAGGGGATACTGGGATCATTGGTGGTGGAGAATGTACACTGGTGGGGGGATGGGTGTTCTATCATTGCACGACTGAAACTCAAACATGAAAACTTTTAAACTGTAGCTCACAGTGATTCAATAAAAAAAGTATATCATGTAAATCCTTACTTTCAACACCCAGTTCTTGTCCAGAGTGATTGTTTCCAACTATTGTCACAGTGGACCCTCCTCTATCTTAACTACCTTCCTCCCCACACCCACGACACACACACTTGTAGTAATATTCAACCACTGACCAGTCCTCCTGGCCCTTGTTTTCCCTGGCCTTGGATATTAGTCTCATACTATATATTTTTTATATATCCCATGCATGAATGCAGTCATTCTATATCTGTCCCTCTCCTTCTGACTCATTTCACTCAGCATGAAACTCTCCATGTCCATCCATTTATAGGCAAATTTCTTGACTTCATTTTTCCCCAACAGCTTCCCTATACCCTTATCGAGCCCCATGGGGAGTGATCCCTGAGCACAAGCCAGGAGGAAGCCCTGAGCACAGCCACACCCGGCCCCCAATTAAAAAAAAAAACCAAGCAAACGAAAGAACACTGTGATGGATGCTAATGCCTAGAGATGGAAAAATGGGAGCATTTTGTAGAGGGGCATGGCCATGAGCCTGTGAGAAGTGTCCACCAGTCCTTGGTGGAGAGGCCCACAGGACAGACATCAGCAAGATGAGAGAACAGATCTACATTAATCTGAGACGTCCAAGGTATCTGAGGTCCCTCCAAATCAGAGTGCTGGCGAGAGGCCCCGATAAAAACAGGACACTCAAGTGCCCCTCTGAAACTTGGGGTGGGGTGACAGGTGGGGAAGGTGGCTGCCAGTTTCATCCCATCCCCTCAGCTTCGTAGAAAAGCTGACACTTCCTTTAGGCTGGGACCATGGATAGGACAAGGTCTGAGCTCTCTGGGGCCATTTCGTTGAGGGATGTCGGAGGAGAAAATAGTTCAAGCATCACCTCTGGGTCCTCCACATCCTCTGGGTCTTCAAGAGGTTGAGTAGCAAGCGGGCGGGGCCTGGATTCTTTTACTTTGTTCCCAACTGTGGTTGGTTCTTTTTTATTTATTTTCTTTTTGGGTCACACCCCGCGATGCTCTAGGGCTGACTCCTGGCTCTGCACTCAGGAATTACTCCTGGTGGTGCTCGGGGAACCCTATGGGATGCTGGGAATCGAACCTGGGTCGGGCGAGTACAAGGCAAGCACCCTACCCACTGTGCTATTGCTCCAGCCCTATTCCTGCAGAAATACGTGCCCTAACATATTTGTAAAATGAGGTTTACAATTCTCACCCCACAGAGAAGCAAATTCTGGCCAAACACCTCTGGGGAAGATGGGCATCAAGGATTCTCAGGGTGTTTGTTTGCCCCAGGGTAGTTTCAAGTCTCAATTCAGAGGACTTTTGAGAGGTAAGAGATGTCTTTTGTGTTTCATCACCGTCACTGTCCTCCCATTGTTCATCAATTTGCTCCAACTGGCCCAGTAACATTGTGAGACTTGTTACTGTGTTTGGCATATCGAATAGGTCATGGGTAGCTTGCCAGGCTTTACCTTGCAGGCAAGATACTCTGGGTAGCTTGCTGGGCTCTCTGAGAGAGGCGGAGGATTGTGTTTCATAGGGAAGGAAAAGGATAACTTTTTTGTGAAGGAAGAAAAAGTGGGAAAGAAAGGGAGATAAGATACACTTGTAAAAATAAAAGAGAGCTTTTTGGGAAATTAAAAAAAATCAACTTATCATGATTGACAAGTTTGTGGAATTTCAGGAGTTTTAGTCTTCTATATGTGTGGGCGTCACCACTGCCATCACCGAGACATCAACGATCTCTCTCAGACGTGGGATAAAAATAGCCAGTAAGTAAGGGAGTAAGTAAGTGAAAAATTAATGGCTGAAGTCATAGGAATTGGAAATTTTGTTTACAGGACTGTGTGTGTGTGTGTCTGTGTGTGTGTCTGTGTGTGTGTGTCTGTGTGTGTGTTGGAGTGGCTGGGAGGGTCTCCTGGGACACAGGTGGAGGAAAGCGGGCTGTCAGGTGGTGGACACGGTGCTGGAATGACGGGTGTATAGGAAGTATAATCACCAGTATCATAAACCAGGATTCTTCCATAAACACTATAGCACTGTCCTCCCATTGTTCATTGATTTGCTCGAGCAGGCACCAGTAACGTCTCCAATGAGACTTGTTGTTACTGTTTTTGGCACATCGAATATGCGACGGGGAGTCTGCCAGGCTCTGCTTTGCAGGTGGTATACTCTTGGTCACTTGCCAGTCTCTCTGAGAGGGACAGAGGAATCGACCTGGGTCGGCCGTGTGCAAGGCAAACTCCCTACCCGCTGTGCTTTTGCTCCAGCCATAAATACAGTTTGAAAAAAATGCCAAGTTCACTCTCTGAAGAAACTTCACAGAAGACAAAATATAAATTGCATAATGCCTATACATTAAAAAAAAAAGACAGAAAAGGAGGAAGAAAAGACAGATAAAGGTGGAGAAAGGAAAGTTTTGTTTAGTTTCCAGGCCATGCCCAGCAGTGCTCAGGGCTTAACTCCTGGCTCTTTGCTCAGGGCTCACTAAAGGAGCAGGAATGACTGTGGTTCTGGGGACTGAACCTGGGTCAGCCATGTGCAAGGCAGACACCTTCCACCCTGTTTGAACAGGCTTGGAGAAAGGAATTTCAAGAAATACATAAATATGGAGCTGGAGCGATAGCACAGCGGTAGGGCGTTTGCCTTGCACGCGGCCGACCCGACTGACCTGGGTTCAATTCTTCTGCCCCTCTCGGAGAGCCTGGCAAGCTACCCAAAGTATCTTGTCCGCACGGCAGAGCCTGGCAAGCTACCTGTGACGTATTCAATATGCCAAACACAGTGACAAGAAGTCTCACAACGGAGACATTACTGGGCCTGCTCGAGCAAATCGATGAACAACGGGAGGACAGAGACAATGACAGTGACATAAATATGGAGGTCATGCCACAAGCTGCCTCCGGCTGCCACTTAGCTCCCTAATGGCCATGATCCAGAGACACAGAAAAGAATCTGCGAACCGAGCAGATCACTGCAGAGATTTCCCCAGACCTTAATTATCTAAAACTTTAGAATTCTAGGAGAGTGTGGTTGCGACATCTTATGTTATTCACAACAAGCAATGCAAAAGAGAGTATGGGGGAGATTGTCTGCCATAGAGGCAGGGGGAGGGGTGAGATTGGCGGGAGGATACTGGGGACATGGGTGGTGGAAGATGAGCACTGGTGGAGGGTTGGGTGATCCATCATTGTATGGATGAAACTCATAATAATAATAATGCATAGCACTGTCCTCCCATTGTTCATCGATTTGCTCGAGCCGGCCCAGTAACATCTTCATTGTGAGATTTGTTGTTACTGTGTTTGGCTTATTGAATACGTCATGGGGAGCTTGCCAGGCTCTGCTGTGTGGGCGAGATACTCTGGGTAGCTTGCCGGGCTCTACGAGAGGGGTGGAGGAATCAAACCATGCTTGGCCAGGCTGGCGGCTTGCAAGGCAAACACCCTTTGGCTGTGCTAATATATTTAAAATTTATTTTAAAATAATAATAAAATACACATTCTGAATTTTAAAAAAGTAATGCAGAAGTAATGCCCAATTCAGTCAACTTAACCAAGGGCTGAATAAGTAGCAGTATTCCTACATTAAATAAAGAAAAAAAATACATAAGTAAGCATGGAGAAGGGGGAATGCCATCAAGAAGAAGCAGAGCACACATTCCCTGCAGGATGCCACGGCAGGGATATGTTGGGCTGCTAAATAACAGTCTGAAGTTTCCTTTATGGGTCCGAGAGATTGTGTAGTGGGTTGGGCATTTGCCTTGCCCACGGTCAACCCCTGCAGGTTCGATCCCCAGCATCCCATAGGGTCCCCCCAGCACCGCCAGGAGTGATCCCTGAGTGCAGAGCCAGGAGTCAGCCCTGAGTTTTGCTGAGTGTCACCCCAAAACAACCACCACTCCCCCCCCCCCCCCACAAAAAAAAGAAAAAATATGGGCCAGGGAGAGCCCAAGGGCTGAGTGACTGCTTTGCATACAAGGGGCCCTGGGTACAATTCCCAGCACCACACAGACCCCTGAAACCTGCAGGAAGTAACTCTGGAGCACAGAGTCGGGAGTAGCCCCTGAGCATCACCAGATATGACCAAAAAAGCCCAAAAAAAGAAGAAAAAATTCCTTTGCAACCCTCCCAGAGGTTCTTACCTTCCTCACAGTGCTCGCCCTTGTAGCCCGCCGAGCAGACGCAGTTGCCGTCGATGCACGAGCCGTGGCCCCCGCAGGCGGGGTCGATGCACTGGTTCATGGGCACGTCGCACTCGGCGCCCTTCCAGCCGCTGTAGCACTGGCAGGAGCCTTTCGAGTACTGTCCATTCCCACTGCACAACACAGGGCAGGCAGCTGCAGAAGAGCAGAGACACAGCAACAGGTCAGGGGGCGTCGAGGGGGGGTTGGAGGATAGTGAGGGGTTCCCAGAGCAAGAGCCTGCCTGGGCATTTTATTTATTTTATTTTATTTTATTTTATTTGTTTTGTTTTGTTTTTGGGTCACACCCCGCGATGCACAGGGGTTACTTCTGGCTCATGCACTCAGGAATGACTCCTGGCGGTGCTCAGGGGACCCTATGGGATGCTGGGAATCGAACTTGGGTTGGCGTGTGCAAGGCAAACGCCCTACCTGCTGTGCTATTGCTCTAGTCCCAGGCATTTTATTTTGTTTATTGAATTTTCTTCCTTTTGGATCACACCTGGCGATGTTCAGGGGTTGCTCCTGGCTCTGCACTCAGAAATTACTCCTGGTGGTACTCAGGGGACACTATTGATGCCGGGTCGGCCGCGTGCAAGGCAAACGCCCTACCTGCTTTACTGTCTATCGCCCTAGTCCCCTGCCTGGGCAATTTCATGCTCCTTGACCTAGTCTTGGCTTGGGGACTCTTGCCACGAGGGGCGTAGAGTTCGCCTCCATGGAAAGACAGCCACTGGAGCAAAAGCCAAGATCATTTTTTTTTTTTTGCTTTTGCTTTTTGGGTCACACCTGGCAATGCACAGGGGGTGATTCCTGGCTCTGTACTCAGGAATTACTCCTGGCAGTACTCGGGGGACCCTATGGGATGCTGGGAATCGAACCCAGGTCAGCCACATGCAAGGCAAACACCCTCCCAGCTGGCCCCCATTGAATTTTTTTGATTTTTTTTTTTTTTGTGTGTGTGTGTAGGGTCACATCCAGAGATGCTCAGGGGGCTGGAGCGATAGCACAGCGGGTAGGGCGTTCGCCTTACAAGCGGCCAACATGGCCGACCCGAGTTCGATTCCTCCGCCCCTCTCGGAGAGCCCGGCAAGCTACCGAGAGTATTCGATATGCCAGACACAGTAACAACAAAGTCTCCAATGGAGACGTTACTGGGCCCGCTCGAGCAAATCGACGATCAACGGGAGGGCCTTTACCTTTACCTTTACCTTTACTCATGGCTCATGCACTCCGGAATGACTCCTGGCAGTGCTCAGGGGACCATATGGGATGCTAAGAATCGAACCTGGGTTGGCATGTGCAAGGCAAACGCCCTACCCGCTGTGCTATTGCTCCAGCCCCAGGCAATGTATTTTATTTATTGAATTTTCTTCTTTTTGGATCACACCTGGCGATGTTCAGGGGTCACTCCTGGCTCTGCATGCAGGAATTACTCCTGGTGGTACTCGGGGAACTCTATGGGATGTTGGGAATCGAATGCAGGTCAGCCACATGCAAGGCAAACACCCTCCCAGCTGGCCCCCATTGAAATTTTTTTTGCTTTTGTGTGTGTGTGGCGGGGGGGTCACACCCAGAGATGCTCAGGGGTTACTCATGGCTCATGCACTCAGGAATTACTCCTGGTGCTGCTCGGGGGACCCTATGGGATGCTGGCAATCGAACCCGGGTTGATCACGTGCAAGGCAAATGCCCTCCCCGCTGTGCTATTGCTCCAGCCCCCTTGTGTCTACTTCTATGCAGAAGATGAGTCACAAAGAATGAAGAAGAGGAACCAGGGAGAGCGCAACGCACATGTAGGAGGCCTGGCTTTGGTCCTGCTGGGTCCTCCACTAGCAGCAGAGACACCCGAACAAGTGAGCTTAGACTAGCGCTTGAGTGTCACTGGAAGTGGGGTGTGAATTCCACATACACAGAAGATTAAATCTACCTGACTCAATAAAGCGCATGGAACAAGAGAGAGTGGATAGGCGTGGATGGCCAGCACCTCTCCTTTGGGCTTGGGCCAGTAGGCATTGATGATGGACAGACAGAAGCTGGGCTCAGTGGGCCAGAAGCTTGGTGGGAGAGAACCAGCCCCTTTGACCACTTCTGTGCCCCCCTCAACCATTGTGCTAAGTGCCCCCTTTCAGAGATCAAGAATAAGACTGTGGGACATTTGTACAAAAGGAGATAAATATAACGTACAGGTTACTTGGTTGAAACTGGATCTAATGGGAATAGATTTTCTCTAAAGATGAATTATTTTTGCTTCCCAAAATACAAAAAGGTTATGATAACTTTGAGAGATGACTTGGGATCTCCTCACATATGGAATTCAGTAGTATCCATTTGTCAGTTTGCCAATTTGGAGGTCAGGTAGCTTAGAACTAACTTAATTTCAATTTCAACCAAGTGGTCAAAGAAATGCAATATAGCACAGTGGTAGGGCATTTGGCTTGCACACGGCCAGCCCAGCCAACCTGGGTTCAATTCCTCCACCCCTCTCGGAGAGCCTGGCAACCTACCCAGAGTATCTCACCCACACGGCAAAGTCTGGCAAGCTACCTGTGATGTATTTGATAGGCCAAACACAGTAACAACAAGTTTCACAATGGAGACGTTACTGGGCCCGCTCGAGCAAATCGGTGAACAACGGGAGGACAGTGCTACAGTACTACTTTGTCATTAACAGGAAATGATAGTCTTTCATGTTGTATTTAATAAAAAGTAACCCCCCCCCATGCAAAAAAAAAATAAGACTGTGGGAGTCAGAGGAAGAATCAGACCAGCACAAAAAGTAGCTCAACAACGGACACAGAATCAATGGAAGAACGACTGTCCCAAATACTTAGGAAGAGAATGGCTGTAAAATTATTAGGGGGGTCTCGGTTCTCAGGAGCATCCTTCTCCCAGTGAAGAGAACAGGAGAGAAGGAGTTCAATAGCGCGGACACCAGTCAGTGAGTGGCTTGGGGCGCTGAGATGAATCCCCTTCCCACAGAGGACACAGTTTTCCTACTTTGGGGCTACGTGAGCAGACAGCCTTGCCTGGAGCTGTTACCCAGAGGTGACCAGCCAGGAGAAGAAAGCAACTCGAACCGAGGCTGTGTAAGACCTAAGTGGGGCACCGTGCAAATGTAAACCAGTGGGAGAGTTTCTGAGAAGACGCAGCCAAGTCTACCCGTTTCTCGCCCAACTCAGTCATGCTCTGGGGAAGGATGGACCAAGAGGTTTGCATGGGAAGTATTTGCCCATCCTGCAACTCTGCAAATGTCAAGCGGCCACTGCGTTGGGGTCCAGTTCCTTCTTTCCTTCTTCCACCGAGTGGAGAGACTCACACCCGCCGAGGCAGGCTGACAGATGAGTGGAGCTGGCAAATGGGAGACAATGTCCTGGTGAATTTGGATCTAGCGGGTGTTGAATGGTAACCCTACGTTTTAGGCTTCCTCAGTGAACTGCTCCTTTTGCTCCCCTCAGAGAAGCTTACAGTGCTCTAACAAGCATCCTTAATCCCGAGTTTATCTTTAACCTTTCCTTTATGTTTTGTGTTCTCATTGTCACAACACAATTGTCATGATTTGGTTACTTACAAGCTGAGACTTTCTGGTAATTCTGGACTTTGTATTTGTATTAAAGAATGATTTCCTTTTTAATTTCCCCTATAGCCTTTTCATATTTTTACTAAAGAGCAATGTTTTTTTTTCCCTCTTTTTGGGTCACACCTGGCGATGCACAAGGGTTACTCCTGGCTCTGCACTCAGGAATTACCCCTGGCGGTGCTCAGGGGACCATATGGGATGCTGGGACTCAAACCTGGGTCAGCCACGTGTAAGGAAAATGCCCTACCCACTGTGCTATCGCCCAACACCAAGCCTTTTAATATTTTTACTAAAGACCAATGTTCTTTGCTTAAACACAGAAAGACTCTTAATGCTATGCTCCAAATATTTGGGAGTTGACTGACCCTGGAATATAGCTACCTCTGGGCATCTGTCATAATTACTTGACTCAGGATTTGGTTGCGGTAGTTTCTAACACTTCACAAAGGGAGGTCCCACTATGGGCCTGGGACAGACCTGAGACGAGTGGCAAAGCTTCCCTGGCATTGAAATGGGACTGTCCAGAAAGCATAAAAGCACGGTCTTGATGCAAGCTGTTATAACTTAAGAGACTGGACCACCCATGAGGAAGGAGAAGCTGAACCAGTCTGAGGACTTAGTCTGGGATCTACGGTAAAATCCTTGTTTGCCCTCTGAGCCCAGAGAACTAAGTGTTGGAATCTGTATCGCTCACTGTGTTTATCCAAATAATTGCAAGTGTTACTAAGAAGTGAACTTAAGCTTAATATGTGCAATGGAAAGGAAAGAGAAAGGCAATATAGATGTCCCTGGGAGACAGAGTGTCTCCTTGAGTTAATCCCCATATGAGAATTGCATCCGCTGAAAAGCTTTACCTCGGTAAATGATCAGTCACACCTACATGCAGTCCTATACCTCGAACCCCCTCCGATGTGCTATAAGTATGCCAGCAGCTCTGCATTAAATGGGCCATTTTTATCATCTATCCTCGGTCCCCCGTCTCTTTGCTCCTCTGCTGGGGAGCCCCAGGAGGCAGCTCTTAGCCACTGAATGTGTCGTGTACCCACATTTTGAACTCGCAGTGGGGAGTCGAGAACCAGCCTCACTTCCTCCCCACCGTGTGTGCTGGGATGGGAAGGCAGCAGGGAACAGAACGATGAGCATAGAGTCAGGCTTGTGGCTCACCCAAGGGTTCGATGCAGAGTAAGTCATTATGGTCGACAGAGAAAAGGGATATCCCCAGCCTTGGGGCTCCCCCAGAATCTGCTTTCTCTCCAGAGGGGGGGAAAGGCAGTCAACACGCAGCAAGTAGCCGTCTCATTATTTGATACAACATGTGTTTCTTATTTTATTATATTTTTGCTTTTTTGGGTCACACCCAGTGATGCTCAGGGGTTACTCCTGGCTCTGCACTCAGGAATTAATCCTGGCCATGCTTGGGGGACCATACGAGATGCCATGGATTGAACCCGGGTTGGCCATGTGCAAGGCAAATGCCCTACCCACTGTACTATCGTCCCCGACCCCGTGTTTCTTATTTCTACAGAAATGTTTCTTTCTTCTTTGATTCCTTGCGGTGGTGATGGGGGAAGGGGGA